ACTTCAGCATGGTAGGAGTTGTTTTGTTTGCAGCTTACCAGGATTTCAATGAATATCTCATGTCAACTTCGTCCTCTGGGCGATGAAAGTAGTGCAAAGTGGAGAAATAGGCTAAACAATGCCACACTCAGTCAGCCCATCTATTTTCCAGTTGGTTTATGGTGAATGAATCCTGTAACTTCGAGCTGGCTTCAATGAGAGCACGGCAACGTCATTAATGCTGAATGCAGTCACAGGTGTGGCTTAATTAAAATAGTAAAGGTAATACACTGAATGGTGGTAGGCTTATTTTGTGTCATATCTTACTTGGCTGAGGGACGTTTAGCATTTAAGAATGCAATTCATTTTTGCCTCTCGTCACTCTACCGCGTTTATGGTTGGCCTCTGATATCTTTCTGATCACCATCTATGAATTTGTCTTATCGTTGTGCTGTTTACATTTCACTAGGCCTTCTGCTCTCAGTGAATAGGCCTACTTAAAGACAAATTTGTTCCCATCATAACTGTAGAGGTGTCTATTGTAGGCCTAGTAAAGGTATAATAATCTTATTTAGTTAGTCCTTAAAAGACACTCACTTTATGACAAAGCTGCGTTAAAAGCATAGCCTCCCATTCAACCCTGCATTTGAACAACGAATACAGCTCAAGTTCTATTTGCATTTGACTGAAGATTATATTCAAATGTCCCTCTATGTCAATGTAGCCTAGGCCAGTGGTTCTCAATTTCTCAGCCTGTCCTCCACTAAAAAACGACTCCATATGTAATTTATAGTCTAAGGACCCACGACCACCTCTTTTATGAAAATCCTGAACCAAGTTTCTGCCCTTTCTGTGCAGTTCGGACCTCAAATGGTACAAAACACATGACAGAACAAAGAGAAGGAACAACACCAACACGACCCACCAGTTGAGCATACTGCATAGGGCCGAATAAAACAAAATAGCGGAGCTTTCCTAAAATATTGTATCAGACAAAGGCATAATAGGTAGGCATTCAGGAGGAGTTCCACCCTGCATGTGAGCAGGTTTTGTATGGGTTCAGGTGAGCAAAGCATCATCTTAAGGTAGGCCTACTTCTAAAAGGAAATAGTCAGTCATTTCTGATTTCTAATTATGTTTTTATTGTGCTTCTGAATAAAGGCCACGCCTCTGAAGCATAGTTTGGCCTGGGATAATATGTAGAGCGATAGGAAGCTGATTAAATACTGATAACTGTAATTTTATTTTTAGAGAAAAAAAACCCAACATTTCCACTTCCAAAAATACATCTCCAGTGAGCCACTGCTATGACCAGATATGCCAACTGGACGCATCAAACCACAGAGAAATGCTGGCATTTGTCTACTAGCACACTGCCAAACACCAAACATGTTTACACAAATTGTTCATCCTGAGGAAACACAATTGTTACTAATTAGGGCTGAGATGTAAAAAAGCTATAGTGGAAGTGAAAAAAAAAAGCAGAACAGATTGATCATAATTTAATGATTTCCTTTATTTCTTATATGGAATATTTGTATTTTTTTTTTTATCTAGAGACAACCCTTATTTCACCCTGACAAATGTCTGCAAATGGATGATGATATATCGCATAGCACTATATTTCACAAAAGTCCATTGAAGTCAAAACCACACTCCACATGACCTATGCAGCAAAGCAAGTTATTTATTTGCATTCAGTAAACAAGTATATCCATTACATCATATGCAGTACAATTATTTTCTAATGTATAGAACTTGATTATTTTTCTGATTGATTTACGAGACAGAACCAAGTTGAAACCCATCTTTATGAACATGTTATCAGATATATTAATCTAGGTCTGCCTGAGGCCCCTGAGAAAACATCCACAGATGGTCAAATGGCATTAGACCCTTTGACTTTCCTGAAAGCTTTTCAACCCACTATGTGGTGAGAGGAACAGAGAGTAGGAGTGAGAAAGCAAAATAGAGAGTGACATTTTACAACAGGGAGCGTTTATCTAGTTTGAACCAGCAAACCAATGAGGCCAGGAAAAGGGCAAACAGCCAAAACAATGTACAACTTCACTCTTCACAAGGGTCTCATGCTGCATGTTTTTTCCACCAGAAAACTTCATGTATCTGTGCAGTGCAATCTCACATCCATGTATGAATAAGTAAGATATTGGATTATTAGGAGGATGTAGTTGATATCTCAAATATATGTGAGCGATGGTGAACTATTGTTAGTGTTTTAGATTAGATGAAATTTGGCTTAGGCTTACACATTCAAAACATATTTATGCCAGGTAAAATGTGCCTAGGTTCATCAATTACATTTACAAAGAAAACTTGATAGTATCTTAAGATTTGGAAACAAATGTTCTCTTAAAGACTTTAATAGAACGGGATGTATGTGTAGTTAGTAACTGAGTCTGGTATGTCTCACCAGTTCAAGTCCCTGTACAAAACAAGAATGGAGTTGGGACTGGTTGCAGATGAGGTGCAGTTACTTCAGAGTACTGCCAAAGTGCCCTTTAGCAAATGACTGAACCCCCATCTGCTCGGGGAGCCAGTCCATGTGCAGACCCCTCACTCTGCTATCTCTCTACAAATGAATGTCTTTAGGATAGTATTAGTGTATGTGTATCTCAGGCCTGTGTGTGATGTCACTATATAAAGGAGTGTTAACCTAAATTTTCCCTCGGATAAAATAAACAAAATTACAAACTAGTCACAAGAATCTCTTAATGTCTTAAGTTTTTTAAATAACATCGCTGTCAAGTGGAATAAGTACAATTGATCTAAATCAAGAAATCTACTTCATATGCAGGAGCTGACTAATACTACAGCAGTTATGTTATTCCCAAAGATTCAGGGTTCCTACACAGCAGCGCCAGCACAAAAAGAAAATTTGGCCCCGGCCTTTTTGGCTCAACCCTGTCCCTTACAACTGGTGGAACATGACATAACTTTACACCCTCCACGTTTCCCCTTTAACAAGTCTACCACATTTTTCCACAAAACCATTACCAAGCAAATAAATGCCTGAATGCCTTATGACTGACTCCTTTGTGGTCAGAGGAGACTATCACTATCAGGTGAATATCCTTACTCAAATAGAAGTAGGCTATGTAAAAAGTAAGCAATTAAAAAATTACATGTTTAGAATAATTTTTTTTTAAAAATCACTGTTCAATGTAATTTAACCAGATTGGGCCAACCAACTGTCCCTGCTATGTGGGATGATGTCTGGTAATTTAAAACAAATAAAAAAATAGTATAATTTAATCCTTTTTCCAGTAGTGTATTGTTTTTATTATTTTATTGGTGAATTGTTGCTTAATGTTTTTAAGAATTGGAGAAACGGAGATTCAATACATTTTTTTTTTAACCATGAGTCTGACCCTCTTTTTTTATTTTGTGAATTGGATGCTCTTATGACTTCTTGAGACTAAATTCTCTGTCACTGCCAAGTGAATCTTACTCACAATCTCGTTGTCAATGGAAACCTCTTAACTTGCTTGTACACATCTGATCCGTAGCTATTGCTTGTCCTTGGGTCGGATCCTCTATTATTGCTTGTTTGGAGACATATCATAGAAGTGCTTGCCAACTGTTTCTCTGTTATTGCTTGTTCTTGGAGCAGGCCTACAATTAGTGTTCATTCTTGAGTCACATATTTTATTGTTGGTTCATTAGTAAAAACCGCTTTATTGCTTTTACAGATCCAATATTATGGCTTATCGGTCAGTCTGATCAGCCATTATTGTTTTTTCTTTTTCGTCAAACAATCTATTATTTCTCATAAACAATGTACATGGTTCAAATCTGAAAAGTTGTTTCTTGGTCCACGCTCCACTTTCCCACAGGGTTTAAAAAAAATCTAGTCTATACTGCACTAAGAAGTATGCAGATGCAAGTACTATAACTATATTCTATAAAAGCAGAAACGATCAGCCAATAGATCTAAATGCCAGCCTCTAAAGTTCAATAAAAAGACTCATCAAACTGGTTTTACTGACAACATAATTATTTACAGGCACATCAAAGACATTCACTCATTGCTAAGTTCAAATCAGTTTGACTATTAATCCGTGTTTTTCCAAGCCTAAGCCCTAAAGCGAGTGCACTTTAGAAGAACTTTCCAAAACAGACGACGTAGTGTTCATGCAATGCAGTAATTGGTTAGGTGTGTGAGGATGAAGAAAGCAACTTTGGTTTGAACTTTGCTCTCAAGGTCTCCTCCTCAAAAGGAAGGCTTTTTGAATATTTACTCTGGTTTGTCTTCTGGCTTTATCTAAACTTTTCTTGGGTTAAGCTGAGCGCTCTCTGCTATCCTCCGATAGATGTGGAATACCTCCGACAACCGTGAAGTGCTATGAAAGCAGGCTGGTTCACGGCAAGAGTACACAGGGAGCAGGGAGGCATTTGATTGGTACTTTCCATCCGAACCTCCTTGCAATGATAGATCGGGGTCTCATTACAGCAGCGAGAAATGACAACTCTTTCTTGATCCTTTTTCAGAGCTCATGATTTTCTTGATTACGCATGTAAAGACTGTTTTAACAAATAGAAATAGTGTACAATATCTAAAGATACCAACCCTACCTTTAATTCTTGAAATAACTTTTTTGAGTCTCTTCCAGTGTAAACCATGTGCAACAGTATGAATGCCTCTATGGAAGCATTGCCTGAAAGTGTATCCCAATATTTAAATGATTCACATCATGTCCAATCAATAACAGCAGGCTTTTCACCCTAGCTGCCTTCAAGTGTGGTAGTTAGTCATGGTTATGTAAATGTGGCCAGCACATAAAAGTCTGTTCTTCTTGAGCATATACATACGGGTTAAAGGCACTACAGGGGATTTTTTTTACATACTTTTTTCATCTGAGGGAAATTCAGGTTTTACACTCTGTTATTGAGAGGCCTGCTTCTCACACCCACAGACCTGAAATTGTCACAGATCGAGAAAACTAAGAGGAGGACCCAGATGCAGAATTAACAAAAAAATATTTAATTAAACAAAAACTCACTTCAGAAATCCAATCCAGAGAAAACAAGGAGCCACAAGTAAACTGACACAGAAGGGAAGAAAACCAGAGACTAAATAGATACAGGGCTAATCAAACACAGGTGAGACTAATGACACAGGTGAAGACGATGAGGGCAATCACAATGGAGAGAAACACTCAGAGGAAGGAATGAACTCAAGACAAGAAACACTGAGGACAACTACAAAATACATACATGAAACACTGAAGACACACAGAACTCAAGAATGAACAAAACACACTAGAACATAAAAAAACACTGAAAAACAAAACAAAAAAAGACCAAATCATGACAGAAATACACACATGCACAAACAGGACCTGTGGACATGCATTAGTGGAGAGAGTGGGGCTGCTGCAGCCTGCTATGCAGGGAGTGCGCCAGAGCTGTTTGGGGGTCCAGTGCCTTGCTCAAGTGCACCTCAGCAGTGCTCGTGAAGTGACCTGTCACTTCTCCAGATACCAGACCAACTTCCAAATACTGTGCTGCAACAGGACTTGAACCTAAGTCCCTACAGAATGAGCTAGCTGCCGCCCCATTAGAACAGGTACATATGATCTTCTTCCAAATATGGCTGTGAAGCTGGGTGTTATGGGAGTAAACCACACCCTCATCAGGTGTATATAACTTACTCAGAGGCAACAGTTTGATAACGTTCATGGACGACAGTCACCATTTATCAGCACTTGCACTTGGGTGCCACAAGGTTGCGTCCTTTCACCTTTAGCGTTCACATTGAACACCAATGTCTGTATTAGTCATCAGAATAATTGTGCATTCATTAAATTAGCAAATCATGTTGCTCTGATACAGCTTTAAAGTGGTAATGAGACCAGTTACAGGGCTGAGATAAATTCCTTTTACAACTGGTTCCTTGATAATTCATTGACCTTTAACACAAAGAAAACAAAGGAAATTCATTCAAGACATTCATCTCTCTCCCTTGTAATTATGAATGACACAGCCATTGAAATAGTAGAGGAGTAATGAGTATCTGGGCACAATTATAAAGACGACAACCTGACATGGAATGCTACCACCAATGCACGATTTGCAAAGGCTCAACAGCGTCTTTGTTTCTTAAGGAAACTGAGATTCTTTTTAACATTGTCCGTACAAAATAAGAACAACTTGTTAAACTAGGTAGAAAAATAACTGGGAAACAAATGTAGAATTTCTAACCTGACAGATCTGTACACACTCAATACAGTAAAAGAAAGATCATAGCAGACCCACAGTGCCCCCTTTGGTCTGAGTATGTACTCTTGACTTCAGGGGTGCAGGTACAGAAGGACATAAAGAGGCACCACATCCTTTGTACCACAGAGCATTCAGGAGCTTAATAATCTCTGATAAATGCAGTTTGAACTTGGCACTCTTGATCACACTTTATTGAGCTTTAGTGATGTATTTGATTGATTTTGTTTCATGTCATTATGTGCTGTCCTGTATGGTTGTTGATGTCTTTTGTCATTAATGTTATCATGCTCTCAGTGCAAGACAAGATCCCCTCGGAGCAATAAAAGGTTTAATTCTTTCAATCCAAACCTGCCCTGATGCAACAAGACTGAACTCCCTTCAGGCCAGATTTTCAGTGTTGTATGGTTAATTTAAAAACAATAGTAATTGTGTTGTATTTGTGTTTTAAAGAGAATATTGTTTAACATGACAGTATATCTTTGTAAGTAAAGGTAGTCTGGTTTTAGCTGGCTTGATCCCATAAACAGTTTCCTGTTGTTATGTTCCGTTCTTAACGGGGTTATGACCTTTTATAAATAAAATAGGACACTTGACTAAATGCCCTGGTTTCATAGCCAACATGGTGAACTGTCCTTACTGACAAGAAACGAGGAGATCTCATTCAGTTTAAGGCTCAATGCAAATACCAAGACTAAGCTCAAGCAAATTCTTTCTGGCTCTGTTGCAGGAAAAAAAAAAAAAAAAATCACATCGTGTAATCCATATACCACCCCTTCTGTTTATTCATCCAGTCCTTGCACAAACACTAGCTGTCAAACCTACTCCACTCTGATTATTCTTTGGAGTGTGCTTGCTCCAAGCAATGCAATCGCTTCTCAGCAAAAGACAAGTTGATATGTTCCAGTGCTACTCAATCCAGCTGTTTGTCTCTGTCAGAGATGATGTGCTTGCTGCTGGAAGAGTCCTTAAATACGGAGTGCACTTATTTGATTGTCCTGATCAACTCTAAAAACTGTTCAAAGTGATGATTCTTCATGACGTTCTATTGTCTTGTTCTGATAGTGCTTGTGTTCAACAGCTTGTGTAAGCGTGTTTATTGGAGGGTGGCAGTGAGAGCGTCTATAAAAAATGAACAAGGTTTTGATTTAAGAGAAAACATTGCACTAGCCTGCAGAAGCACAAAGCTTTTCTGCTCTTTAATCTAATGACTCTAAGAGCAACATTACCCTGACCCAGTCCAAACATAGAAAATGTCAACTTTTGTTTACGGAAAGTTTCCCGCTGCACAGGCAAACAAAGTATTTCATATTTTGTTAAATGAAAAACCAGGATGTGCCGTGCGAGAGATGACCAAAAGATGACCACCGCATACCATCCCTCTCTGGAGACATTATAAAGGCCCCCCCACACCCTTCTCCTTCAAGATCCAGGCCAAGGCTGATCCCAATCATCAGCTGTGTGCCTGCAAATGTAGTCTATGCTGTTACTTTTCATTTAAAAGAGCTAAGAAAGCACAATGACAGGACGTCCAGTGTAACAATGGCGAAAGGGAAGTACAAGTAAAGTTTGAGGCTGCAGCTGTTTTTCTCCTCTTCATCCTCATGTCCTCTTTCAGTTCCCTTGGAGGTCATTCTTCCTGCCTAACGTAACAAAGTTATCACACACAGATGCGGCAGCAGAGGCAGAGAGCCTCAAGTTGTCGTCATCTGTTTCGTTGCTCCCTGCTAACGTTAGTCTAAGTGACATCAATTAAAGGCTAAATTTGCATCACTGCTGAGCGTAACAGTGTGGCTTAATAGTAAAACCTTGTGTTATGGTTCCCTTGATACTATCCAGCTGTGCTCTACTGCAGAGAGAGAGAGAGAGAGAAATACAGACATAGAGGGGGAGGAAAGGGGGGATAAATGTATCTCCTCGTATCTTTCCTCTATAATGTTTTGGACATGTCTGCATAAGTCATTATGTGTCATTGGACAGGCCTGTGGTGCTGCCATTTAAGGGCGTGTAGACGGAAAATACTCCAGTAAAAGTTCAAAAGTCACACTTGTTTTCAGATTGAATATCTAACAGCACATTCATCAGCTTTTATGACGTTTTCTTTTTTGCAAACATCTGGAGGCAAGGAACATCTTTTACCTAACCATAAAGATACCTAAATCCTGTTACCTGTCACTTCAAAGTTAAAATCAGATTTAAACATTAGTGGTGTAAATACCTCTAAAGCTTCTATTTTAAAGGAGCGGACTTTTACAATCAATCCACCAGCAGCCAAGTGAATGTATCGGAGGTTAAATACAGGAACAAGTCCCACAAATGGGCCACTAAAAGCCCTGTGTAAACTCTCCAGCTTTGTGTTATGGGAACAGAGTTTCCAATAAAAAGATACTTGGATGCCTTTGGCGTCACTTGCTTATGTGTTTATGTTTGTATGTCTGTGTGTATGTATGCATATTGAAATCTGTCTACGAAAGAGCTCCAAAAGACTTTTTCAGAGTCTTGAATGCCAGGAAAAACAACAAAGAGAATAACAAACACTGGCTTTATAACAGTAATGAATATGCTTTGGGAAGCAAATGATACCATTTTCCATTAACTCCCACTCATAAAATGCCAATTATGGCTCAGGGAAACCTGTGACATTTGACTTTGTTGGCACCAAACACTGTGGTCATCGACTGTTGCCTAATGCTTGACCCCTTCATCTCTGGGTACTCATAATAGCTTCATCCCTCACTTCATCACTCATGGCTGCTCTGCTAACAGAGCCATCTGAATACATAAACAGCCCACAAAAACATTCGAGTGCTATTGTCACTTTTGGTTTGTGTCTTGCTGATCATCTGCAGTGAAGCAATAGGACGATTTGGACACACACAACACGAGGCGACACAAACAGTTTCAGAGATCCTCCTTCAGAAGACATGAGCAGTAGTGCAGACGCTTTCTGTCCCTGTACAGTACACAGGGTACATCGAGCCAAGCTCATTACTCTGTGCTCCCATTCACTCACTCCGGCAAACAGATACTCTCATTCAGAAAATAGACCTTTTTCTCTAGTTGTTGCAGTCTAAAGCGCCTGATTTCAAAGCAGTTTATTTTTTTTGTCAAATTTCAACACAAGTTTATATATATAATGAGTAAAAATTGCAAAAATTGCACTGTGCACAAAGGAGAATGCATTCAGTATGTCATTTAATACATTTACACTATTATATACATTATTTTATCTGCTGTACTAGTATTCAAGGACGGACTAGAGACTGGTGGGATTGTAATCTCACAGGAGAATGACCCTTGAGGACATTGCTGCTGGAAAGTTAGGGACGAAGCCTCCGATTGGCTGATAGCCTCAATGCAAGGCATCTGGTGGATGGCTTACTGTTTTCAACTGGGATGAATTGATAAAGAATTTTAAGTATTTGGTTGGTTGTTCAAACTGCAGAAAAGTTTTGGTGATTCAACAAAATTCGCACATTATTTGGTTGTCAGGACATAAGCACTAAGAATGTTCCTTGTGACTAATTTCTGTCCATTGAACAGTAAATGAATCTCTGCCAAGTCAACTAGCCTTAAGTTAAGAAAACACGATATCTCTTCTGCAGTCAGTCAGTCAGTGACATGATGACTGTGTTATCTTATTAGACTGAGCACCTGTGGGTGCATGATGTCAAAGGGGTTTGCAGAGTGTGGCTAACGTTAGCAATACTAGCTCCAGTAGCTTTCAGTCCTCCTTGAAGGTTAACGTCCACATGACTGTTCTAAATGTGGGTACGCATAGCTCCAGTCAATGAGCTTGCATAACCTGACCCTGCCTACATA